TCACCTTCATCTTTTGCTTCCGTTTTTGTGTTACGAAGTTTTTATACAAGCATAGTTTGTAGCACGATCTTCCTCACGAAGTTGTTCAAAGTTACTTGTGAAGTTGTTCAAAGTTATTTGTATATTGCACCGATGATATATTATTAGATAGTTTAGATTGTGGAGTGGGGACTCATCACTCATCTTTTTATCATTTATGTTATTTTTCTTGCCCAGCTCATTTTTCTGAAAGACTAAATTGACGGTCACTGTTTTTTTATTTAAGTTGTTTTTAGGAGAATGGATGAATACATGGGTTAGTTGCAAAAGTTACCAGTCGTTGTTTCTCTTGCCTCAACTCCTCGTCACACTCCTCCTTTTCCTATCAAACTCCAGTTGGAGGTAATAAGACTACCAGAAAGCTCTGAGTTGAGCATTCTCCATCTGCCTCTAAAGCTTCAAGCTAAGCCCCGTGGAGAGCCTCAACTTACCATCTTCCTCACTGCATAGTGCATGCCTATAACATTCCTCTTATGGTAACTTTTGCAACATGAAGTAGCTGAAAATCCACTCACTTGGGTGTTTGAAACTTTGAATTTGTGTTGTTTGCTAGCAATGCGAATCGAGCAAATAGCAAGGTAGGTGGTGGCAAGCTTGGTTGGAATACGAGAAATAGTACGAGGACAATCAACTATAACTATTGCACTTTGGACGATGTAAGTGAAGAACAAAAGTCATTACAACTGTAGTAGCAGGAAAAGAAGTGGTTGTAGTGGAATAATACAATTTCTTTAGAGGAAAAACATCAAGACTCTAATGAAGCAACCAAGGCAAGTAACCAATTGGATGAGTGTTGTCCCTGATGACGGCTAAATATCGAATTTATGATACCTATTTACAATTACTTTGTTCTGTAGCTATTCCAGAATCTTTTGTCTCACAAATGAAATTGGGGTAAAAAAAATAAATAAATGCTCAACCGAAGAGAAGACAACCTTGCCAGAATTTATGCTACCGAAAAGAGGGAGTATGCTCGTCGGTTGGAGTGGGTTGCCAGAGGTGTTGTTGTCGCCGGAGGTTAGAGTTGGTCTGGGAGAAACGGATGTGGCCGGAGATGAGGGCTAGTTTTTTTTTTTTATTATTATTTTTTTCTTTCTTTCGTGAGTTTGCTCGAAGACGATGAGATAATGAGAAAGCTCGTTTTTTTTTTAACCCCAGGTTGTCGCGGGCGTGACGCCTCTCAAGTGTGCGACATTCGTGCTGCTCGCGGGTGCGACGTACACCAAAAGTTGTGCCCTGGATACTACCAGGGTGTCACACGCGTAACACCCATCGCTGGTGTGAAAGTTCCTCTCGTTCGGGCGCGACGTTTGTTGCGAGCGCGACACCAAAATTCGAGCCTCGAAAGCTTGCGACGCCATTTCGCGGGAGTGACACTTGGCTTGTCGTGGAAATTTCGGCCACTTTTTTAAATATATAACACTGTACAAGTTTGTGGGTTTCCCACAAGTGCTCGGTTTTATGTCGGGTGCTCGGAATCGAATCTCTTCAATCAGTGGTCCACTGGCTCGCCGAGACTAACAGTCTCTACATGTTGATTTCTAAGTTCTCCATCGATATACGACTTTACTCTCTGTCGATTCACGACAAATGATTCACCATTCATTCGATTGCAAAGTCGAACGACTCTAAGAGACAACATCTCGTCAATAACATAAGGCCCACTCCATCGGGACTTGAGCTTTCTCGAAAAAAGACAGAGCTGGGAATTATAGAGGAGCACTTTCATGCCGGGCACAAGGTTCTTTCAGACAATGGTGACGTCGTGAAGCTTTCTTACCTTGTCCTTGTAGATTTTTGAGTTCTCATAAGCCTCGTTTCTCCAGTCCTCAAGTTCCGAGAGTTGCAACAACTGCTTTTCCCAGCGGCATCTAAATCAAAATTCACCCAAATTGCCTTGTGCTCAATTTCCAATGGAAGGTGGCAAGATTTCCTGTATACGAGCCGGAACGGCTCATACCCAAAACTCTCGTATATGCTATGCGTTGGGCCTATAGAGCGTCATTGAGCTGATTAGATCAATCGTTTCATAAAATCAATGCCCCAAACATAAAAGATTACAACTTGAAACCGTTCACGAGGGCCATTTCATTTTTAGGACCAATATTTCTAGTTCTTTGTCAATTTTCACAAGAATGGCAAAAATTAAGGGCATCTTTGAAGAGAGTAAGCCAAAACAAACCCGATTGGAGGACTTTGAAAGCGGTTTTCCGACCTCCAAAATCCCCTCCAAAGTGGAACTTGTGGCAAAAGAAAATGATATCCGTTTTCTCTTCCTTAGGTACACACCTCCATAGTACCTCATCCTTCCATATTTTGAAGAGAAAGGGCTTGTCCCAAAAGTAGCTCTTGCAACTCAACAAAAATCGTTTTCTCCCTTGAGAAGAGAGGTTAGACAGCAAAATTCCATAAAATAAATAATTCACAATGTTCGCAGACCAAGGATTACTCATTTGCTCAAGCACATGCTCATACAGAAAATCATCATGAATGCCATTAGGCTCAAGTAATAAAAATGAATGATCAGATGGGACGATGCGTGACAAATGATCAACTACAACATTCTCGGACCCTTTCCTATCCTTAATTTCCTCATCAAATTCCTGCTGTAACAAAATTCACCTAATAAGTCTTGGTTCCGATTGAGTTTTGCTCAAAAGATACTTCAAATCTTGTGGTCTAAATGTATTGTCACTTTTGGTCCCACAATGTAAGATCTAAATTTTTCAAGAGAAAAGACCACGTTTAAAAGTTCTTTTTCAGTGGTCGTGTAATGCAGTTTGCCTCCATTAAGAGTCAAACTAGCGTAATAAATCACACGAAGCAATTTATTAACCCGTTAGCCCAAAGCGACGCCCACAACAAGATTTGATGCGTCGCACATTCTTTCAAAGGGTAATGACCAATTAGGAGTAATGACAATTGGAGCAGTCACAAGCTTATTTTTCAATTCATTGAAATCTCCCAAACATGCAACATCAAAATTAAAAGGCACATCTTGAGCAAACAAGTGACACAAAGACTAACTAATTTTTGAAAAATATTTTATAAACCGTCTATTATAGCCAACATGACCCAAAAAACTCCTAATTCATCTCGTATTACCCGGCGGGGGAATTTTTTAAATCACATTTACTTTGGCTTATCAACACCATATGGCCTAGCACAATCCCACTTCTTACCATAAAATGGCTCTTCTCCCAACTCAAAGTCGATTTGATTCAATTCAACGATCAATCACACGAGACAAGTGATGGAGACAATCAAAGAATGAAGTACCACGTATAGAAAAGTTATCCATGAATATCCGCAAGCAATCCTCAAGCATGTCGGAGAAGATAGAGAACATGCACCTTTGAAAGGCTCCCGGTGCATTGTATAGGGAGAACGACATCTGTCTAAACGCGAATGTGCCAAATGGGCACGTGAATGTCATCTTCGGTTGATCCTCAGGTGCTATGGCTACTTGGTAGTTGCTGGAGAGTCCGTGAAGGAAGAAGTGGAATTGGTTTTCAGAGAGACGATCGAGGATGTGGTCAATAAACGACAGCGAAAAGTGGTTTTTCTTCACTACGGTGTTAAGTCATCGATAATCGATACACATGGGCCACCCGGTGGTTATTCGAGTGGGACCAACTCATTCTTATCATTCTCCATCACCGTGATGCCTCATTTCTCGAAACCGTGTGAATGGGCCTGACTAAATCACCATCCGCCATGGAATAAATAAGCCCCTCTGGTTAGAACTTTAACACTTTCTTCTTTCACAACTTCCATCATGTTCGGGTTGAGTCGTGATTGGCTGTCCTCTAAGATGATCTGATGCATGCATGTGGAGGGGCTGATGCCTTTGATATCCCCAAGATTTCATCCGATGGCCTTTTGATTCTTCTTAAGCACCTCAACGAGCTCCTTTACTTCCTCTCGGGTGAGCTCAACAAAGATTATGATCGACTATTGCTCCTCATCATCAAGGAGTACATACTTGAGATGTCGGGGTAGCTTCTTAAGTTTTAGCATGGGTGGAGATTATGAACGGGGTCCCTCGACTACCGAAACCTCAATGGTCAGCCCTACTTCATCATCGAAATTGGCATTGACCTCTCTTCAAAATCCTATATAGTCATCTCCTCGACACATGGATCAGTGCCATCGACGAAAGCACATTTTTCTACAAAGTTCACGAAAGACGCAGATGTGGCTTCCCGAATGGAGATGGATACATACTCGTTCATTACTGTCATGTTCAATGTCCTGCTCTTGACATAGATAAGCGTGTTAGTGGTAGCCATAAATGGTCACCTAAGAAGGATGGTGTGATTCATTACGTTCTCCTGCACGTCCCCAACGTCTAACACGACGAAATCCACAAGGACGATGAGCTTGTCTACCTGAACAAGAACGTCTTCTACAACTCCCTTAGGGTATCAGATCGAGTGGTTGGCGAGTTGAATGCACATATATGTTGGTCTTAAGTCTCCAAGACCAAGCTGCTGAAATATTGAGAACGACATGAGATTGATTCCCGTTCTGAGGTCGAGCATCCCCGAGGCATCTTTTCCCTTTCTGAGGACTATGCTAATCACAAAGTCCCTGCCAACAGCGCCATTTTGTTGTAATTCTTTTTACCGTAGTTAAATCCAAAGATTAATCCTCAGGTCGTATCGCAAGGAAGGCTGGACGGACTATTTTGTACAATTATTCAAGCACATAAAGAGAAAATAAGTTCCTAAACACTCTAATTCAATTTGGTTTTAGTTTTCAATTAACAACTAAGGATTCCAAACAATGCAAAAAGTCAATTATCAACCTTCGAACAAGTTGTAGATCTCGATAGAATATCTAGGGAGTAGGGGATAATCATTCTTAATCCGAAACGCAAATATCACGCAATTGATCGTTCGGTTATTTGATTCTATTTACCTACACGTCTAAAGATTCAACCTCAATAACTTTTTGTAACAAGAGGATAAACATGGACGACAAATCAATCAAATCAAACAACACATAGACAATACAGTTAATTAAGAAGCCTACTCTATACGAGTCTAGGTCGAACAACTCATACCCTTTCGGTTGTAAAAGTTGTTTAATTGGATCAATAGGTGATCAATCTTCTCACCCTAGATAAACACAACTCGCATAAAATGAACGGTTCATAAAGCACGATAAACACGAGAAAATTAGGAGAACCATCCCCTATCCCTAGCGAATGAATTTAGTCACTCATAGGAGAATCAACACAAGAAATCATATAAATCAAATTCATAAACAACATGAACTAAAAGCTTACTATTCATTCGAAGTCGAGTGCTAATCCACGAATACAAGCCAAATCCAAAATATGATTGTTGGAGTGTCACTCTCCAAGATCGAAAACAAAGGTAAAACTTAGTTCAGAAAAGAGAAAATTGAAAAATAAGAAGTTTGGAATCGCCCTCTATCCCTGGGCACGACTCCTAATAAAAGAGAATTAAAAAATGAGTCAAAAAATTGTCTAAATTCAAATTTAAATATTGATGTCGCGGGCGCGACGGGTTGAGGTTGACGGGCGATCGCGGGTGTGTCATTGGGCACAGAGCACAACATCTCGCAGCGTCGAGATACGCGACGCTGGCAAAGTCGCAGGGCACGATGATTATCGCGGGCGCGACGCTCGCACTACTCGCAGGCACGACGTCCCCGCGAAAGCGACGAAGAAATGATAGCTGCGGAAGCGCACTATGAGCTGTCGCGCGTGCGACGGCCTGCCTCGACTCAGTTCTCGACATCTTGTCTCGGTTATCGGTGTTCGGCCTGGTTTTGGGTTCTTCCTGAAGTGGATAGCTGGTTCCGCATGTTTGGGCCCAATGAGGCTACACGAGATTTCAAAACCGGGATGGGAACCTCCTTCCTTGTCTAGAATGCTCTATTGATGGACGAATCCGATCAACTGTTAAAATATAAAATAATAGAATTACGAAGCGATGAATAGATAGAAAATACGCGATAACTGCGATTTGTTATATAATCCGATCAAATATTTGTAACCGTGACAAAAGTGTCGACCTCGTACGAGAGGCCGACCTCGTGATTATATAACAAATCGCAGTTATCGCGTATTTTCTATCTATTCATCGCTTAGTATTTCCATTACTTTATATTTTAAAGATCCGTCCATCAACATGCTCAACAACCGATCACACCTAAAAACATGCATAACTACAAGTACTAGAAAACAATAGAAAACGTGACAAACGCAGAAAAACACAGAAAAACTAAAATAAAATAGAATAAACGAGACCACCTGGTGGACCGAAAAAAACCTAAGAAAAGGCCTAAGAAGGGACAAAAAAAAATAAAGTAAAACAATAACAAGATTAACAACAAAAATAGGACAAACACTCACCGTCCGCGACCAGCCCAACCCGCGTACCCATTTCAATCGGTGAGTTCGACATTTCTGGATCCACCGTCGTAGACCCGTTCTGTAAACACACGCCGCACGTCAGAGGTTTGTTGGTAGTACTTTGATAATAGTACCTAGATACTTTGTTTGATAATAGTTCAGGCTAGTTATGCCTCCTCCCGGTGGGTTCGGTCCTCCTCCTCTAGGCCAAGTTTGAACAGAGGCCTCCAATGTGTATTGATTTTTGAAACTAAGTTACATCTAGTCTAAGTTTAACTATCTATGAGTTTTTCTTTGGCACGACTTCTAATTTTTTCATTTTTTGAGTCAATATATTTTTACGATAAGTCAAATAATGAATGCATTCAGTTTATAATAAGTTTATTACTACTTTTTATTGTCATCTACATCTTTGTTTGTATATTGTTTATCTATAGTATATGGATACAAATGATTTTATTTTTTTGAATTTAATTTAATATTGTGATATTATTATATGCTTATTGTTGGTTTATGCATTCAAATTTTAGACAACTTTTGTTGAATCTTTGACACAAATTTCTTAAGTCCGGTCAAAGAAAGTAAACAACAAAACATTATAATTACAATTTATATGCTATTTATTAATTGGATAATTGAAAAATGAATTCTCACACTATATAACTATTTAACTCCCGTTTATATTTAGTATATCATAATTACTTTGTAACATTTTAATTTTTTTGTTATACATTACATTGGGTTCCTTGAACATTACAACANACACCGTGGGCCGATGAGGCTAAATTAGGTCGGGACCAATCACTTGCCACCACTCAGAAGAACAATCGCGCCTCCCTCCGCCGACGACCTCCATATGAGAAATTTGGGGAGTTGGTTGGGGTGTACAGAGAAGAGGATTTTTGGGCTATGTTTGGTAAAGCTAGCTGATAGCTGATAAACTAGTTTATAGTTTATCAGTAACTTTCGATCTTATAGCTTATAGCTTATGACTTTTAGGTGATAAACTAGCTTATATGAGAAAAGTATTTGATAAAATTAGTTGAAATTTTTATTTCAACGAGCTATTCTGAAAATCTACCTAAACAAGCTTATGAGATAAACTCGAACTTCTTGAAAAAGCTCGTCTTACCAAACGAATCTTATTTAAATATAGGAAGCTTATAAGCTAACCAAATAAGCAATAAGATAGTTTATTTGTCTACCAAACATAACCTTGGTGAATTTGTTGGGATGATAAATTATGTTAATTAGATCACATTCATTTATCTATGAGAAGAGAAATTATGAGATAATTAATTGACATACATAGAAATAAAAATCTTTTGTTGCAATAAATTTGTAATAAAAAATATCACCTAACAATTAACATGAGTGGACTTTACAAAATATATTGTAGCCATTAGTTTTAGTTTAGCCCATTTAAATCACAGCTCCAAATCGTGGACTTGGTTATTGGGCCCCCAGGTCCATTTTTGCCTTTCTTCTTTCTCCGCCGTCTTCTCCATCGACTAAATCACACGCGCAGACACACACGGTGGCCGGCGAGCAGTAGCAGCGGCGCCCACCCATTGCCCTCTCTCTATTTTCTCTTAAAGAAAAATCACGCGTACAGTCACTCTTTCTGCTCATTCAACAGCGTAGATTTTTTCAACCAGCTCGCACTTTACGCAGTGGAGCTCAAATGCACGCTGCTGAAGTATTCAATTTGATAAATGTATAAAGCACTTGGCAAGCAACGACTCGTATACCGTTCTCTCATTGCAAGCTACGTCAAAACCGGTCTTGTTGATCAGGCAATCCAAGTGTTCGACCAAATGTCTCACTCAGACTGCAGAATATTCTCTGTGGACTACAATCGGTTCCTGGGCGTCCTGATAAAGTACCGGCGTCTTGAGCTCTCCGAGTACTACTATTACTCGATGAAACCAAAAGGGTTTTCTCTAAATTCCTTTACTTACTCGAGATTCATCTCGGGGTTGTGTGAAGTTAGAAACTTTGGGCTTGTCCTTAGGCTTTTTGAAGACATGGATAGCCTGTGTATCGTGCCTGATATATGGGCTTATAATATCTATTTGAATCTTCTATGCAGTGAGAAATTAGTGGATGAGGCTTTGAAAGTGATCAGAATAATGGGAGAAAAGGGGCGTGAGCCTGATGTAGTGAGCTACACAATTATCATTAGCGGGTTATTTAGAGTTAATCGGCATGTTGAGGCTGTTGAAATGTGGAAGCATATGATCAAGAAAGGTCATAACCCAGATGACAATGCTTACAGGGCACTTGTTCTTGGGTTATGTGATTGTGGAAAAGTTGATTTGGCTTATGAGCTCACCTTCGGGGACATGAGGGGAAAGGTAAGTTTTAGTGTCTCAATTTGTAATGTTCTCATACATGGGTTCTGTCGGCTAGGTAGAATTGATAAGGCACTTGCGATTAAGAATTTTATGAGGAGAAATGGTTGTGAACCTGATTTGATAACACACAATGTGTTGTTGAACTATTGTTGCAATGCGCTAATGTTAGATGAGGCCGAGAAATTGTTGTTGAAAATGGAGAGAAGTGGGCTGCAGCCTGATACTTACAGCTATAATGAGCTTCTAAAGGGTCTCTGCAAAACTAATAGAGTAGATAAGGCTTATATTTTCTTAGTTAACACAATGAGGGCTAAAGGGCTTGCTGATGTTGTATCTTACAATACGATCATTAGTGCTCTTTGCAAAGCTGGTCGTGCCAGGGATGCTTATGATCTCTTGGGGGAGATGGGCAGGAAAGGCATTGTTCCAGATGTGGTAACATTCACGATCCTCATAGATGCTTTCCTGAAAGGTGGAAACTCAGTTTTAGCCAATGACATTCTTGACCAAATGACCAAGATGAGTCTATTTCCGAGTCTTGAGTTGTACACAACCATTATTGACCATTTATGCAAGACAGGTCAAATTGGTGTGGCTCATAGTATTTTTCGTGATGTTATGGAGCAGAATATTGGCCCGGATGTGGTATGCTATAATGCACTGATAAGTGGATATTGCAATGCTTCTCGAGTTAGTGAAGCCCTGCATCTTTTTGAGGAAATGAAAACTAGAAGAGTTGATCCGGATGAAGTGACTTTCAAATTGATCATTAAAGGTCTCATAAAGGAAAATAAGCTTTCTTTGGCTTGCGGAATCTGGGATCAAATGATGGACACGGGATTTACACTTGATAGTTATTTGTCTGAGACATTAATTAATGCCATCAATACTAAAGGGGTCTCATGAGGTAACTACTGCAACAAATCGCTATCTTGATTCTTATACTTTACCCTCCATTATAAATATACAAATTCTTGTGTGAGGTGACTTAACAGTGAGGCTGGTCGATCTATCATACCTATTTAACGAAGATGCATTCTTATGCTATGAAATGTCATACTTTTATTTATTTATTTTTTTACTAGAGTATAACATTTCGGTTTGAAAATAAAGATATCACTGAAAAAGTTTTGGCGGCCTAACCGTTGGCCCTGCCTAACAACAACCAGACTAAATTATAATGTGTTCATTTATTTCCAGCATACAAGTTTGTATTTGCGATTGTTACTTGTGAGCTTGGAGTTGTAAAATATTGCAGAGGCGGATCATATTACTATTTGTTCATTGGTATTCATAATTCACTTAAACAGTGCGTGTCCACCAGATACTGCCAGTTTTTGGAAATAATTTAGTATCTCTCAAACAAAGTGAGTTTAGGTCAACTTGTGGCAAACTTTACGAGTTTATTATCAATTGATCAAATCTTCCAATATGCTCAGTATATATTGCTGTCTGGACTAAGATTTGCTATTAGCTGTTGGTTGATGCAGGATAGAGCCTATACATATTTCCTGGAGAATAGAGTGTTGAAGCAGAAATGTCCACTCTTCCGGGTGGTTAGGTGTGGCTGCCACTTGCTTAATGTTTTGACACTACCAAAGTTTGTTCTCAGTGGCCTTCCTGATGAAGTGTAGGGCCTCTTTCTGTGTCCTTGTCCTTGAATGCAGGTGAAGAAGAGTTTTTTGTTTAATGCTTTTTTACAATTTTTTCCCAAATTTATTTAGATTATTTTCACTTAACTTTTACCTACTAATTGAATACTACTTTGTGCTTGGTATTGCCACCTTGAACTATGCTGAGTTCAAAGGATTCCTTATATCACCAACTAGTGAGTTTACTGGACTTGTTCTTCTTATTCCTTGCACTACTTGAAAAGCACAAATTTGAACCAGGCAGAACCAACGAGCATAGTGGGGTCTTGGTTGCTTCTAAACTCATCCCCATATTTCTGTTTATTTTTTATACACACCATTAGAAGCAACTGCATTGGTGCATGTACATTGCAAAAACTTCGATGTGCGCTTTCTTGCATTGTTTTTAACAATTTCCCTGCATATTGTAGAAAAAAAATACAATTTGTAGCCAACTCTTGTGGAATCATGCGCTGCTTTCAGTGGAGATCAAGAGGTTTTAATGAGGTTCAAATATCACGAAAATTCAATAGCTATCTCTAGATATGTCTTGGGAGCTGCAGCCAGCAAAAGGATGCAAAAATCACGAGAAATTAAACACGTAATGTTAAAATGGGTATGCGTTTTGGAATTTAATTCTACCATAAAGTCTTTACGTACAATTTTTTCTAGCTTTGGTGCATGTTTTTCCTCAAATAATGAAGTGTGATGTTCTCGTATTCCTTACTCAGGTAAGGTGATTAACCATTTTTAAACCAGGAGCATTGACTAGCTATGCAGCAGTGAATGGGTGTGAAGGTATAGGAAATGCTAAATATACCATCAGAAGTCAGAGATTATACTATGAAAAGATAAGCTACAACAGTTAAGTACACATTTGGCTTTGCATATGAAACTGCTGAAGGCTAACACGAGGGTGAACAAGGAGACAATGTACAATTTAAGGTGGGAAAGAGATTTTCTAATTGGAGGAGAGTTTAAGGAGATACCTGCTAGAAAACGAAGCCAATATTATAGATGACTCGTCTGGATCACACTAGGCAATCTGAACAATGTTTACAAAAAGATGCTAGGCTGCCTTGGGTTTTCAACATTGGTTAAGCCTGAAGGCCCTTAGCACCAAGCACACCACCAGTGACTGTTACAATGTTTGGATGAATATATGAAAATGGGAGGAAAATTTTCGAGACAAAAGGTAATTAGGTCTGTTGTATTCTTATATGAAAATGGGAGGGTATACTGCTAGAACTGAGAGAATGGCTGTCTAAAGGGCCAGACTTGGGGTGGCAGAAGGTGGAGTTATTGCAGAGAGAGAGTATTTCAAAATCCTATCAAAAGGTGATATTGCTTTCTGGGATGTTGCGGTGTTAGCTGAAGATATTTGCTCTCTTTTAGCTTTGCTTGCTTCGTGTACTATTATGGATTGTTGTTAGACTTCTTGTTACTTCTTTGTGTTTTTCTTAGGAGTGTTCTGTGTAATCAGGGGGCGGATGTAAGTATGCCATAGGGGGCTATTGTCCTCCACACTTTTAATTTTTTTTACTATATATATAAAGACATTTTGCCAAAAATTTACTCTTTCTTTACCACATATAATATATAATATATATATATATATATATATATATATTATAAGCATATCCAATTTATACATATATCCATAATCATTACTAGTTATTAAAATGATCATTGTACTAAGAATTTTAACTATACCATATTTTTGTAAGTAATTATTCACTCTTTAAATATAATATTTGTGTTTCTTTTATAATATAGTGATTAACTAATGTACGAAAAATGTGAAAATAAATAATTTTAAATTGGGATTTGAAAAAAAAAATGCAAGAATTATTTGTATAGAATCAACTGTTGATGAGTCTCGTGATTTGGGATAATGTCGAACACAAATTTAAAATATCAAACTTCAACAGTTATGTCTATTGTAGAATACTTTTATAATTTATGTTATCGAATTTAGAATGCAACTTTGTGCCTTATATCCATATAAAATGTGATATTATTAAATATTATATCCCTTCTAGAGGTGTTATTGGAGTAGAGTTGAACACCTCATGATCAAGCTCGTGTTTGTTTAATACATGTGTTGGCTTGACTTGACTCATTAAATAAACGAACAAAAATGTGAGTTTGAGCTCGATTCATTTAATAAGCAAATTTGATTTGTTGCTTGAGTTTTTACGGGTCAATTCGAGATATATTCGCAAATAATTTATTTCAAATGACAATTTTAGTCCCCTCCAAAAAAAATTTCTGGATCCGCATTGTGTTGTTTGGTTTCAAGCTCTAGTTTAGGCTCTTAGAGCATTCACAATGCTTTGGGCTCATTAAAAAAAATATGCAGGCCATGTAAGAGATAGACCCAATCTAAAAAAATATATACTCCAATGCAAGTGCAACGGGACTGAGTCCTGCTGATGTGGCACCAAGAAAAAGAGACTCGGTCTACCCTTAAGTCTATTTTAGACCCAAAGAGAGACCTAGTCTCTTTGCATTTGAGTCAATTTGGTTACTTTTATATATTTTTGTCCACGTCATCCAAGATTTAAGTCTATTTACATGTCACGTAAGCAAAATTAGACCCAAAACATTGCAAATGCTCTTAGGAGATTTCGAATGTTGATTTCCTCTCTAGGTCCCCTTATCTAGATTTGTCAGGACATTGGCCGATTTCAACCCATTGGTTGATGGTCTTGTACATTATGAGTATACGTGTCCAAAGGTCGGGCCGGGTTGGCGGGCCTCAAATGTTGGGCCCAAAACCGGCCTGGCTATATTTAAGGGATGGTTCATTCCCGATGGTTCATTGAACCACCAAATTTGAAAAAATAAATTAAAAAAATAAAAAACATCTAAGACCCGCCTTTCGATCCGAAACTGGTGGGTCAAAAAAGGAAAACCTAAGACCCGAAATCTGTCCAGTTTTATCACGGGTCCATTCCAAGACCCATAGTTCGGGACGGTTCCGGGGCGGTTCGGCGGCCCTGGCCATGTCTAAATTTATGAGTTTGATTTATATAATTTGATATTTAATTTTGAAAAAAAAAAAACATGCAACTTTCTCATCATTATCATCATCATTTCTCAGTAAAATGCCAGACTGAATTGCACTCAAGAAGCTCCACGCTGACTCTATACTTGGATTTCTTGAACTATTGATAACTCCGATGATTATGAGAGCGTTTTGTTTGAGCTGGCTTTCTCTTGCTTTACTCTGCTGCCTTTTACACGAGAGGTATCCAACCATTTCTCTTCTAATTTGTTTTTCTTTGTGCGACTGTAATTTTGTTTTGTAGAAGATACGGCCATTCTGTGACATTTTTTTTTATATATATTAATTGGTTTATTCAAGCGGAGTTAACAAATTGTGTTACTACTTCAACTAATCTCTTATCGGCAGATGCCCTCATTCCATGTTTTCGTATTACAATAACTGTTAGCGAAAATATTGAGCAACCCTCGAAATTTCGGAGTGACAGAGAAAACATTGAGCATAACCCTCGAAAGTTCAGAGTGTTTCCTCTTCTTCTTCTTCGTCTCCTTTTTTTTTATTTATTTCAATATTTGTGAGGATGAACATAAATACTGTGAACGAAATCCATGAAGGTAAAAGATGCTAATTCGTTTCTTGGTTCTTTTCTTGCTGCAGTTGTATTAGCCTGGGAGATACAGAACAAGCTAGCTCACCACCAAGGGGTTGGAACTCTTACGATTCCTTTTGCTGGATAATTTCCGAAGATGAATTCCTTCAAAATGCGCAACTCGTCGCCGAACACCTCAAAGATCACGGGTACCAGGTAATTTGATGACTCCTTAAAACTAATACCAGAAAATGTTCATACTTTTATTGTATACATTCAAAAAGTATATCTAATCAATGGGTTGTTATTCTTCTTTTGCCATTGTCCTAATGTCGATGTTTTCACTGTGCCACGTAGTATGTGGTGGTGGATTACCTTTGGTATAGGAGGAAAGTGAAAGGGGCTTATGTTGATTCTCTTGGATTTGATGTTACCGACGAATGGGGAAGGATGGTGCCCGATCCAGATCGATGGCCATCATCCAAAGATGGAATTGGGTTCGCAAAAGTTGCGGAGAAAGTTCATGGCATGGGTTTGAAATTTGGGATTCATGTCATGAGAGGTATAAGTACTCAGGCATTCAATGCAAACACGCCTATCCTTGATGTTACCACGGTATTTCCACAAATTCTAACTTATATTGTCTTAAAAATTCTGTTTGGGTTCATTTTTAAGAAGTGGATCACAATTAGTTGTCAACTATAAATCCTAGATGTTTATTTATATACATGGAAATCCATAAAAATATCCTTTCCTTTTGGGTTGGCATTCCTCTCTGTCTACTATTTGTATAGGGCAAAGCTTATGAAGAAGATGGCCGAAAGTGGTCTGCAAAGGACATTGGAATAAAAGAGAGAGCTTGTGCATGGATGAAAAATGGTTTCATGAGTGTGAACACCAAATTGGGAGCTGGACGAGCTTTCTTAAGGTCACTCTATCAACAATATGCCGAGTGGGGTGTTGATTTTGGTATCTATTATGTTTTTGCACAGTTGAATTATTAATTTTTTCTTATTAGTTTCGTACATTTTCTTTCTTCACTTCACACGTACTTTGAGTTTGCTGATAATTATTTTTTAACATTTCTATTTGCTAAGTGTTTCTGTCTTGTGACAGTTAAACACGACTGTGTATTTGGTGAGGATTTGGACCTAGAAGAGATAAGATACGTTTCGCGGGTATAGCTGCTTCACATCAGTTTCTTTTCATTACTTTTCTTTTTCCTTTTATATTCATTTCTCACAACATATTACTTGCTCATCATAATATACAAGCTACTGCTGTTGAAACCCAAATTATGCTTGCAGCTTTTTTTTTTTTTAAAGTTCAACAACATTCATGGTGAACTTACACAGGTCTTGACAGAACTTAACCACTCGATCTTGTATTCTTTGTCCCCTGGAACTAGTGTGACACCAGCCATGGCACGTGATGTTAGTGATCTTGTAAACATGTACCGAATTACAGGGGATGACTGGGATACATGGGGAGATGTTGCGGCCCATTTTGATATTTCACGGTAACTTAGATGCTAGCTTTATTTTGCTCCGAGATATTTCTGATGCGGATTTACCATGTCTGTCTTGATTATTTTTTTTTTAAATGTACTCGGAACTATTTCGTATTATTCGCAACATTCATTTTCCGGCAGTTCTTCCAATTAATATTGCCTTGTAACTTCTATACACTTTCTCCTTTTATTTATTAGGGATTTTGCAGCTTCTAATTTGATTGGTGCAAAAGGACTGCGTGGAAAATCGTGGCCAGACTTGGATATGCTTCCATTGGGTTCGCTAACAGATCCAGGTAAAATGACTTAATCTTTCTAATCTTAGAGGCAGAGATTGGAAAAAGAAAATCGATTTAGTTTATAATGAATTTGTATTTAACGAGACACTATCTTTCGAACACAGTAACGCATTCATATATTCTAACTATAAATGTTCTATTTTTTGGCAAATTGGGAACACTTCCACTTAATAATGCCTGAAAAGTATTGTCATTTAAATGATATTCATGTTTTTCATTTACACTGGATGAAAATATTGTTCCTTAAAATAAAACTAGATGAAGATATTCTGTCCGTCCACGATTACCGTGTGACCAATAACTCAACTCGGACCTAGTGATTACCAATCAACTTTTTTTTTTCACTTTTTATGAGTTGTTTTGATTTCAATTTATATAGGTTCAAATGAAGGTCCTCATAGGAAATGTAAACTTAACCTGGATGAGCAAAGAACCCAGGTACTTGTGCATGAGTACTCAGTGTTTCTCTTTTTACCGATGTAAAAAATATTACAATGAAATCAGTAAATTATGATACTCAGGTGACATTGTGGGCCATGGCCAAGTCCCCTCTCATGTTCGGAGGTGATATGAGAAACCTTGACCAATCAACATTCAGCCTAATCACAAACCCTACTCTCTTAGAGATAAACTCCTTCAGCTTGGACAATAAGGAGGCAAACCCAGACTCTTGACTAATTTTACCACAAAATGATGGGCTGCTCTCTATTCTAATTATCATCTTACATACTGCAGTTCCCCTATATTTCAATCTTGAAATCAAGAAAACGGGCAAAATCAAGTGTGAAGGAGCTCCTTGAATTCAGGCTTACTAGCTGCCGAGATGTCAAGGCCAAAGGCTGGTCTGATGGGGCCATTGATGGCGATGATCGAGAACAATTGTGCTGGAAAAAGGAGTCAAGAAAAGGATATCAAGAGCCCTTTTGCCTTTACAAAAGAACAGCGCTTGTGTTGTAAAATTTTGTATTTATTTTATCTTTTTTTTTGGTCCTTGCATCATTTTTCATTGAATCTGTTAACCATATGACCTTTAGGATTTATGGGTAGTGCTTTTGGTGCAGAGATGACGACCTGGACTACCGACGTAATTGTAGTCACAAAATTCACTTATTTAATAAAAAAACAATGGAGACTTGCCTTGGTGCCTCTTCAAATCAAAGACCGACTTCCCAAGAATTAAAAAGGGGTTTGTTTTCATGTTGCAGTTCACATGCCAACCAGGTATTTTCATTTTTTTTTTTTTTTTTNTTGCAAGACGTTTTTGCTCTGCCCGATTATGAAGAAGTTCCAAAAATATAGTGGATTTAATTTCTAGATGACACATATATTGGTAAAAAAAAATCTCTTTACTGAGTAACCATATACCTTGAGTTACTGCACTAAGGACCGACACATCTGGATTCCAAACAGATATGGGAGCTGAAACGTAATGGCACCTTGCTGAACAGCTATTCTGGTTTATGTGCATCTATTAGAACAGGAAAAGGTGAGATTTCATATTATGTCCCCATCACTTTTTGGTTTATTTGTCACTTGTAGTTGATTAGTCAAACTTTTTCTTCAGCTAATTCTGATTCTGCCAGAAACCGCGCTTGGGTTGCTACTGGAAGAAGAGGTTTGGTGTTCATAAACTTATAGTTGTTGTTTTCTCTCAAAGTATATATTTTAGTAATAAAAAAGGGGAAGGTGAGAAAATATTTTTACAGTTATTTATTTAAGTAAAGTCCAAAATTTACTCCTTCCCTCAGGAGAGATTTATGCAGCAATTTTCAATTTGGACACCGAAAAGGCTGAGATATCAATGAGGATAAATGACTTGAGGAAGGCTCTTCCTGGTAAAGATTTTGAGCGTGCTTCATGCAAGTGCAGAGAAGAATGGACTGCGAAAGACTTTGGAGTCGTAAATGACTCAATTTCGACACAAGTGGAAACCCATGGTGTTGCTCTTTTTGTCCTCAATTGTACTTATAGCTAATTATAAGATTATGCTCTCTAGGCCGTCTAATGAACAATGTTCATGCAACACTACTGAAAGATATGTGAGCTTCACTATAAATGCGGAAGAAAAAGGTGCCTGTAATAAAACAGTGTGGTCTTTGCATATATTTCCATATTTCGTATTATTCTGTATTTTCAGTCCTGGGGCAATCTACAGAAATACCCCCAAGTTTGATTTCTGTGGGATTTGCTTCCCTTATAAATGTCACACATCCATTTTAGGGAAAAAATATTTGAAAATCCTTGAGGTTTGGTTCTAGTTTGAGTTGAAGGGGGTGATTCCAATATCCTTCGACTGTGGTGGGAGTTTTAAACAAGTTTTATATATTTTATCTTGTTTTTAATTAGGAAAAATGTACAAGCTCAAGGGTGATCTGTAATTTTGTAACTTTGGGTTCATCTGAACTATACCCATCTTGGAACAATTACTTCAGTGGTTGCTAAAATTCCTCACATACAATTAAGAACATGTAACTACAATTGGAAATAAAAAATAAAAAATAAAAAAAAATTATGTTTTATCACGTTGGATTTTCCTTTTTTATTTCACAGAGTTACAATTAAACACAAATCTGAACTTTAAATTTTATATTCCTTTAATTTAATTTGATATTTTTCAATATTATCAATATAATTAAACAATATAAACACCAATCATTATCACACACTTAGGTTATGTTTGGTAGACAAATAAGCTAACTCATAACTTATTTGGTTAGCTTATAAGTTTACTATATTTATATAAGCTTCATTTGGTCGGACGAGCTTTTTTAAAAAGCTCGAGCTTATCTCATAAGCTTCTTTTGGTAGTTTTTCAAATAAGCTCGTAGAAATTTTTATTTCAACTAGCTTATCAGCTGATTTTACCAAACACTTCTATCATATAAGCTAGTTTTTCAGCTATAACTTAGTTGATCATTCGCGAGACCCGATGCAGACCCGCGCACCCCGCAAACTCGCGACAGCCCCGCGCGGCCCGCTGCAGTCTCGCTCCCGCATGACTTGTCTGACCGCGTGACATTCCCGGTGACTCCATGACATCCGACGAGGCGATTTCCGGTAGGTGGAAAATCTGACGATCACCATCAACGAAAATCTACAGCGTCTCAGAGTCTGCAAATTTTAAGCCGTAAGTATTTAACTTTAAACCTTAGAATCCACTGCGGATAGGTTTATTGTTGTTGTTTAATTCGTGACTTGCACTTAACGAAATCTTTACCGGCCTCTACAGGTTTGTTGAGCATTGTTTGATCCCCGGTTTTACTTTTAAGCATAAATCTACAGTGGAAATAGCACCTCGATATATGAAGCGCTGCAGGTACTCAAGTACATTGCTTCGATTCACAAAGGAGCGACAGTACTTGAGTGTACTTTCTGACAAGGCACTTTGGTTACTGTTGCATTTAATATTTGGAGACACGTGGGATTTGATGTGTTAGAGCTCATGTGCTTATAAACAGGAAGAGTAGTTGATATAGGATAAAGAGCCCGGCCTTCAATCGGGGCTCTTGAGTAGCTCGATCCGAGACTAGAGCTCCCTCAACTCGACGTAGGGTCAAGTGGGTTTATAAGGTCAATTTATTGACTTAAGACCTTTCTGGACTGAGATCTAGGTAATTGAGTCGATGAAGCGGAGGACTTGAACAATTCCGTAGGGAGACTTTGGGACTCTGGGTTGTCCTGGAGAATATAAAATTCTTGGGCAGCAAGTTAATCATTTTAATATATATAAGAATGAGGTATGACTATTGTAGGATTTTTATGTTCTGATTAATAATGTTAATATACACTTCATGTTCGAAAGACTAACTTGGTCGTCGGAGTATCTACGTTGGGAATCCTCCCGACGATTTTTCAAGTACTCCTATGAGAATGTCAAAGACGATTTGGAGATCCAAAGAAGGTTGGTTGCCCGAAACGGGATTTATTTTATCAGAATATAATAACACTTGTGAGTTGTTTCACATCGTTTATACAGTGAAGATAGGCCAAACTTATAAATCTAGTGGACTACTCCTCCTTTCACCAATTGACAACAATATAATATGTCATATGAGGTGGCTTTATTAATTTCAATTATCAATTTCATAACAAATATTACGTGGCTTTTTTAAATATTCCCACACCAACATTAATTAAGAATTAAGAAACCCTTACCCCATAAAGTTCTTGCTTGCTCAAAGGTTGGAGAAGGTTTTTTACTAAATCTATTCATATGTCGTTCCCAAATCCACTTGCAACCTCACGACCTCACCCACCATAGCTACACCTTCGTCGACAAGCGCAATTGCTGCCATTATTGTCATTGTTGGCGTACACTCTCTTCTCGCTCAAGTAGTTGCTCCTCTTCCTGACCTCGCTTGTCGTAGTCGCCGAATTCGTTTACCTACAGCTCTTTTCGCAGCAGTAAGGCACCGTGAAAGATGCAATTACCACCGAATTCGCCATCGCTATAGCCATAATCGCGCTGTTGCCGAGCTTTTTGTGGTGCTTTTTCGGTGAATTGGTGGCCACGGCAGTCTGCGATGGGGGGAAGGAGCTCGGGTTGGACGACATTGTCATGAATGGTTGTCCGCTAGAGTTTGAGCTGGGGAAAAGGGGAATTTCGCTGCATAGGGCTTGGTTTCTGGCGAACCTTCTCGATCCGTACCTCAAAATCAAGTTGTTGGGGAGAAATTCATAGAGCTCGTTGTTGGATAGGTTGAGATCGATGAGATTTGGAGGAGGGGATGAGAGGAAATTAGGGATTGGGCCGGAGATCTTGTTGTTCTGGAGGTGGAGGGTGATGAGGCGGGTGAGATTGGCGAGCTGCGGCGGGATGGGGTCACGGAGGTTGTTGGTGGATAGGTCGAGGTGGAGGCAGTGGAGAGCGGAGATTTCCGGCAGGATCTGGCCAGAGAAGTAGACGAGCTTGAGTTTGAGGCAGCGGACGAGGAGGGAATTGATTTGAAATTGTTTTGGTTTTTGCGAAATTGTTTTGGTTTAGCCGGTGGTCCCAGAGATCTGAAATTGTTTTGGTTTTGTGAAATTTCAAGTCATTTGTTTGTGAAAATTTTTAAAAAAAGCCACGTAATATTTGTCATGAAATTGATAATTGAAATTAATAAAGTTACCTCATATGACACATCATATTGTGGCATGACTTATAAATAAGTCACCTCATAAAAAAAGCCACGTAATATTTGGCATGGCTTATATAGATTTGCTCACACATACACCCATATATATAGGGTCACGCTCCGGTGAGAATGATGATCGATGAAAGAAATAAGAACAAATTTCAGCCATTGGATCGGATAATCCAACAACTAAAAAAAGCCCTAGATTCTAAACACATTAAGGGCAGTGTGGTAAATTTTATACTAACCAGCCCGTGGGCCCCACCTCACCCTAATTAATTCCTAACCTACTAAGAGCACCCGCATTGGGGCGTTAAAACTCCCCGTTTAAACGACACGCTAGCGTTAATGGGAGTGTGGGCGTTCATTATTTCAGTTGGGTCCACGTATCCGTTCAATTGCTTGAACGTGTTCATTTGCTTTCTTCTTTTTTTTTTTTTTTGTTTGTTGTTCTTTTTTTTAAATAATTATTTATTAACTCTTCTTCTTTTTGTTTTAAAAAATATTTTTTTTATTGTACTATTTTTTTCTTGTGTAATCTTAATTTAAGGTATTTTGGTCTTGTAATGTTCTTTCATTTTCATGCATTTAAAATTTATTATTATAATTTAAAAATATTAAAATTTACCTTTATTGAGAATAGAATATAAAAAATTATATTGAATGAATGGATAATGGGTCCTACATATGTATTTAAATGAATGTGTATGAATGTGGGTGTGTTTAAATGAAGAGATATTAGATTTTCCCCAATTCCTCTCGCGAACAAAAACCCTACCTCCTCAGCTCACGAAATTCCGGCGAATCTTCCTCCCTCGACGTCGGTTAAGCTCGGCCTAAGGTCATCCTAAACTGTCTTCTCTCCCCTGGCGACCTTTGCCCTCCTCTCACCTTCAGATAGTTTGGCGACGAGGCGTCAGGTCCGTGGTTTCAGATGGAGTCGACGACGGTGGTGGCGTTTCATCGATTTCGTTGCAAAGCCGGAGATCGGAACCTAGTTCCAATCACTAGAGGAGTTGCGACTCTGGTGGTAAGTCCCGTTTTTCTTCCCTCTGTTTGTGATTGTCGGACTTGGTCGTTTCTGGCGGCGCTTCTCCTCTTCTGGCGAGGCCACGCCTTTTGTCGTGGGCTGTTTGAGGCGGTTCTGGGTGGCGTATGTGTCGCCGGGTGGGGTGGATCCCTGATTATTGCGGCACTCCTTGTCGTGGCGGTCGGGGGGAGGGCTGTTTCTCTCTTGCTCTGTTCTCCGTCGACTAGTGGTGTTAGGAGGCGTGGGAGGTCCTTTCGGACTCGTCTAGTGGTGTTAGATGAGTGCGGATGGATTAGGTGTGGGATGGACCACGGCTCTCTCGGTCATGGATGGGCGATTCGGGGATTGGTTCGGGTTAGATTTCTACTACTGTATAGGCTTGATTGCAGTTTCGGTAGCAGACTCCTGGCCGGATTTGTCTTGTGTCGATCGTTCACTGCTGGTTTGTGCTAGCTCGTTCGTCGGGGAAGGGCTGTTAGTTTTTTAGTTTTTTATGTTGTTTTTGTTCTGTGTTTCGGCGTATTTGTGTCTGTGTTGTTCTTGTCTTTTAGGTTTGGGCCATTTGGCCTCTGTGCGTCCGAGTGTCACCTTTATTACCCTGTTGGGGTCTGACACTCGGTATTACCCTGTTGGGGTCTTTGTATTGTTTGTTGTGTTTTGTAGTGTTGTTATTAATCCTTTGGGGTCGTGGTCGAGTAGTTGGTCTGTTTAGTGCGAGTTTTTATTCTAGCGTTGCTAGCGGGTCTCTAGGCGGGCTTCTGACCTGTCCTCCCACTTTTTCAGCTGTTGGCTGCTGTGTATTCAGCTGTTGGCTGCTGTATTTCGCACATTTGTGCATTTTGATTTATAAAACTATCTATCGTTTCGAAAAAAAAAAAATAAAAAAAAAATGAAGAGATATTTAGTGGAAAGGTGATGTATGTGGATGAGAGAGAGTGTTAATTTTTGGTTGAATGAATGATTTTTGTGTTAAGGGATGTGGATGTCCTAACTCACCACCCACCCATTCTCTTTCACACACCCAGCACTCATACACACACGGGTCTCAATGCACTTTCTCTCTCCCCAACACACACACTGTACACACACCGATACACGCACAGTACACACACAGAAACACACCCACACATACAGTAGCTTTAAATCGGCCGCAGCCCGACGCTGTCATCCTCTTCATCCCACGTCCGACGCCGGCAGCCTCGTCAACCTCCGCCACCTGTCTCCATAACTCCTCCGACCGCCGCCCTGGTTCAAGCACCATCTCCGATCTCCGCCGCGGACCTCGAGAAATCTCCGATTTCCTCCGCCGACCTCGAGAAACTTCATGTCGTGGGCCACGGCAACTGAAGCACCGTCTTCAAGGTCCGACGTCGCCGGGAATGTTGGCACGTCCTCTTCGGCTGGAGACGAGAAACAGACCACATATGATCGGATGGCGAGAGGCGGACGACGGCGACGGCGAGAAGCGAACGACGGTGCTGACAGGAACTGACGGGCTGAGCTGTTAGTTATTGGGGTGGGGAAGGGAGGGCTGGTTTTTGGGAATTAGATATAGATAGGGGACCTAGTTGCAATTTTTTTAGTTAGTTATATTTCAATTGGGTTCTTGGGCCAAATATATAATTTATAAAAATATATTATTATTATTATTATACATCATTTTATACATATATACTAAAATAATTATAAAAAAAGTAAATAAAATGATATAACGTAATAAATTAATATAAAATAATAAATAAAAATATTAAAATAATAAATAAATATTTATCATATATATAATAAATTATTTTGATTATTTACATAAACTTAACTCAAAGCGAATCAATTGTAACTATCAGGTTGCACAATATTGTTACGCCAATGCACGTTAATTCATTCGATAACGCACATCATCATACCAATGTTAATTTTCATAAATATTAAAACTCTTGGTTATTCTAGTTTGATTTTATAGTTATTTAAAATAAAACAAATACAAAGCAAAATAATGAAATCGATCGAACTAAAATAAAAATAATATTGATTTATTTTATCTATACATATATTATTTATTCTTCAACAACCAATAATATAAATATAAAATAAAAATCTATAAAGACTAAATATATTTTTATTATATAATTCGATAAATGTACCGTAATGTTAATTAATTATTAAACATAAAAAGTACATGCTCAGAATAATGCACACTAATGTTAGACTAAATGCACAGTTATATTTGTGAGGATGCACGTTGTCAAATTTGGTACTTCTTATATATTATGTATTCGCAAGCAATAAATAAGACAAAACTATTAAGTAAAATTAATAAACTACTAGATATTTGTTTATCATAAATAATAATTTATTTTAATGATTTAAGGTAATTCAATTAAACGGTCGAATAAATAAAGTAATTCGATACGAATTCAATCCAGCGTAGGACAAATGTTTGGTCGGTTCGGACTGCACAAATATTAACCAAGTCAATGCAGTAGTGTTAGATTAGTTGCACCTTAATGACTTCTGAATTGCACAACATACCGATCTAAAATTTTTGTTCATTTAGATATGATTTAAAATTTAAGTTATGTGAGTTTGATGTCAGATCTATTTTGGTTCGCTTGTTTTCAAAAGTTTGACACAATTAATTTAATTTCGATTGACCAATGAACGACTCTAAGCGCGGTTTACATTTTGACAAATTTGTAAACTTTTAATAGAACAAAATTGTTAATATGCATATTCTCGTGCAATATTGTGCATTTCGCGTAATGTTATTGTGCATTTCGCACAATGTTATTGTGCATATATTGATCACATTTACCAATTACATATACAAAATATCATACTTCACTCTTATTTCTCTAATTCCAAAAATAGAACCACAAATTAAAACTCAAAATCCCAATTACATGTGCAACATATCAAAGTTAAGAAAATTGCAAATAGATCCTTCATATTGCTCTAATTTCCAAAACTGGACCCACAACTTAAAACTCAAAATCTGTAAATCAAAACTCAAAATCCCAATCACATGTGCAACAATCAAACTTAAAAAAATTGCAAATAGATCCCTCATATTGCTCTAATTTTCAAAAACTGGACCACAAATTAAAGCTCAATCTGGAAATAACATTCATCCAGGCCCATCCCGGCAGTGTCTTCTAAATAGATCCGCCGCCGTCCTCGTCTTACGAACAGATCCGCCGCCGTCCTCGTCTCTTCTGTCGGCTTGGCGAACGGAGGTCCAGATGGTGACGTCGCTGACCCGGAGCGCAGGCGTTTCTCCGAGTTGCAGAACGGAGTGGTTGTGGTGGTGGTGGCGGGTCGGTTTGGTGAGTTGGTGACAGTGATGTTGGTGGCGGTGCTGTTGGAAGTGGTGGTGGCGGGTTTGTTGACGGGCGGCCGGCGGGTAGGCGACGACGGTGGCGGGCTCTGTCTGGTGCGTGGCTAATGTCTTCGGCGATGCTAGAGGCGGCGGTGCTTCGACGGTCGGGCGGCGTCGCTTTAATTGATGTCCGGTGACTTTTCCATGACCGGCGGAGGCAGTGCTTCGACGGTCGGGCGTCATCTCTTTAATAGATGATCGGCAGCGGCGCTTATAAGGTCGGGCGGCGGCGAGATAGAATTATGGGCGGCGGCGCGCTTGAACTCTGGCCGGCGAGATCTTGTTGGCCGGTGGTGTGTGTGCTATATATGTGTGTGTGGGGGTAAATAGTGTGTGTGCAGGTGTGTGTTGTATGTGTGAGGAGAGGGTATGTTAATGGAGATAGTGGTGGGGCCCACTGTATATGTGCAATGTCTTATTTATCCCTATTTCGTGGTCAAGTGTTTAAATTTGACCATATTAAGTATAAATATTTACGATATTGCCATTAATGATTGACTGACCCATAATAAAATTTGACTTGATCATGTCCATCAATATGTTGAGATCAATGGTGTAGATCTATTCTTATTTCTTTCACTATCTACCATTCTCATGTGATTCTAACTCTCTCTCTATATATATATATAAATGTTTGATTATTTTTAAAATAGCATCTCTTTCCCGCTAAAAAAAAATTAATTACTAATTGTGGAAATATATTAGCCGCAATTTTCATTTTTAATGCTTATGTTTTTTGAACTTTTTAATTATTATGGAAACATATTTCTATTTTAACTTAAGACTATTCCTTAACGAAACTAACTAGTAAATATCATGTGCACATGCACATATGTACATAAAATATTATAAGTAATATTTGAGAATTTAATATTAAAATTTTAGATAAGGAACATATTACATTTTTAAAATTTAATCATTAAGAAAAATAAATTAATGATTGTTTATTATTATGAACAATTGTTTATTATAATTAGATAATAGCAGCTTGATTATTATTATTATTATTATTA